GGGGGGGGGGCAGGCTGGGCATCTTGAATATCTCCATCTGGGGGACCGGGAGGCAAGGGCCCTAAGGCAGGAGGCACATCGGGGGCAGGTTCTGTGCTGTTTGGATTGGAGGTGTCTCCTCCCAGGCCTTCTGGGGAGAGGTCTTACTTGTGTCTGTGTCCTATAAAGCCCCACGCTGGTAGGCAGGACCTGAAGTTGGGCACAGCCACCCCCAGAGCGCTTGGGCGTCCACTGAGGTGTTTCTGAGGCATCTTAGCACACTCCTGAATTTAGGACGGGGACCACCCCGAGGCACCCTCACTCGGAATGACTTGTAGCACCTGGAACAGTGGACCGTGGGGTGAGAGGGCTTCTTGGGGAGGGAGGCATATGATAAATCATTCACATAAGAACATTTTCATGAGTAAAAGGAGACCTTCTGGATAACTATGCCGAGACAACAGATGTGACCGAGGTGGCACAGGAAGGTGCCCAATCCTTGAAGGCCCTTCCTCATCTCCCTCTGCCCTCCCACTGCTTCTCAAGGCCGTATCTGTGTCTCAGGCTGGAGCCCATCAGTAAAGCCCATGACCCCATGCCCCCTTGGCCAGCCAGGAGCCGGCTTGGCAGGTGAAGGAGGTTGACAGGGCTCACGGGTGAGAACCACAGGAAGCAGGGCCGAAAGCCACACTGCAGAGCATTTGAGACCCTCAAGCCCAGAGGCGGCCCTGCTCGCAGAGGAAACCGCAGGCCACCGCGTTAGAACCCCTGGGGACCTGGCCTCACCCTGAGAGGTGCGGATTTCCAGGGGCCGGGTGGGCTCAGGAATCTGTGTTGTGTGAAAGGCTGTGGGGATTCTGATGCCCGGCCAGCGTCCCCAGCTGCTGGAGCCAACACCCCAAGTAACCTGCCAGTTTCAAAGTAGTCACCACCGAGGGCCACCAGGTGGCGCTGTGGGGCAACAGGAACCCCGGCTCCCAGTGGCTGCCATCCCCAGTGAGGGGCGTCTCAGGTCCCCCGGAGGGATGCCCAGGGTGCATTCTCCCTGCTGGGCGCCTGGGAGCCCAGCACACTGAGTCAGAGAGGGTGCAGGGAAGGAAGGTTGTGTCTTTGTGGCTTTTTTTAAGCGGTCAAACTGAAAAAAATAGAAACGATTGAAGTTAATGACTGGTGAGCTGGTGGGGGCCACTGGGGGGTCTTCTCCCAGGGAATCCACAGAGCAATGGGGGTGTTTCAGCCACTGGGGGGGTGCTGTGCTCCGCAGAGCAATGGGGGTGTTTTCCCGAGTTCCCCACATCAGGATGGGCAGATGCTGCGGGAGACGGTCCCAGGGCCAGGAAGGAAATGACAGGAAACCCCATCCTTCAGCACACAGTCTCCGGAGGGTGTCTGTTTCTCAGAGCCTTTTCTTTGGCTGTAGGTTTGCCTGACAGGGCACGTGACTCACCTGACCTCCACAGTAAGTCCTTCGTGCTCACATGGCTTTACTTTTGTTTCTACCCCGCTATCAAGAGCGGTCGAGAAATCTCTTCCTTGGGTTTTATTAAGAATGACTCGATCTCCGGAGATGGGTTAAAGTCGCTCAAACCCTTGTCCCAGGTGGAGAGAGGGATGGAAGGAGTTGGTAACAAACAGGGGCACAGAGATCCTGTTCATATTCAGTCTGGGGTGGCGGGGGGGATGTCACACACACACACACACACACACACACACACACACACA